GATACCAGTTTCACAACTTATCTTCGGACAGTTGAATTTTGCAGAAATTTTCTAGCAGATAGGCGTAAATCATGGTCCAGAGCAGAGAGTTGATGAACTGTATTTTTTTTTTTTGAGAGAGAGAGGGGTGTTTGGGGGGTTTATTCAATGGTACCCAGATGTCATTGCTGGACCATGGCTGCATGCAAGCCAAGTGACTTAAACCCCCTGGACTATCTCTCTGATTCACTACTTGATAAGCTTTGTTTGAATCTGTGATGGCAAAAGTTCATTTAATAGTGTATATGTGTGTGTGTGTGTGTGTTTGTGTGTGAGAATAAGGGTGGTTTGGCCTCACCCAGCTGTATTCTGTCTCAGGGATTGCTCCTGATGGGGGGGGGGGTCATGTGTCACCAGGGGTTGCAGTGTGCCAGTTGTGTGCAAAGCAACAGCCTTGCTCTCTGGACTGTCTCTCTGGCCCCCACAGTCCCGATTTCAGATTATTTTCATTTAAAATGAACTACACTTTTTTTTTTTCTTTTTGGATGACACCTGACGATGCTCGGGGCTGACTCCTGTGACTCCTGGCTCTGCACTCAGGAATTACTCCTGGCGGTGCTCAGGGGACCCTATAGGACACCAGGGATTGAACTTGGGTCGGCCGCGCATGCAAGGCAAACGCCCTCCCCGCTGTGCTATCGTTCCAACCCCTAAATCTGTAAGCGTTAGGCTGGCCTGTGTTTGAATCATCCTGCCACTTTACTAGCTTAGAATTTTGGGGTACTTTTCTGTACTTTGATCTCTCTATCTTTCAAATGTTCCTAGAACGAGCAGATGCCATTGGGCTACGCTAGCACGCAACAGGGACGATCGGAGACGTTACTGGTGCCTGCTCAAGCAAATCGATGAGTAACGGGTTATCACGTGATCTTTCACGTGAAGATGATAACTGCATTATAGTGTTGCTAAGTAGATATGCCAGAGATAGCCCTGAGTGTGCTGGTGCCCGTTTGGTGTTTAATGAACATATTGTGGTTTAGATCTGTGGTGGTAGCCGTTGGAAGAAGACGCACATCAGGAAACACCTACCTGAGTTTTCACAGAGGCTGTTAGGCATCTTGTCATCTTAATTTTGACTATCATAGCTCATGGGCAGTGGCTTTTGTCAGAGTTTAACCTGGAGGCTCGTTGCGTGTTATATTTGCTGCCACGAGGCAGCAATTAATACTTGTAACTTTGAGAACTGCCAGCTAGTCATTTAGCTGGTGAAATGAATCAGTGGGAATGAATGAATGAAGGAAAGAATGAATCAGCTTCCCACCTGCCCCCATTTTGGGGGTCACGTGCACCTGTGCTCCTGGGTCTTTCCTGGCTGGGCACATCTCCGTGGAGGCCGTATTGCTCTACTTACGTTTATAGTGTGTCGAAATACCATCCTTATCCTGATAAAATCTTACTAATTTTATTTTTAGAAAGGGTGTAATAGGGGCTAGAGAGAGAGCACAGCGGGTAAAACTCATGCCTGCACATGGATGACCCCGGTTTGATCCCCGGCATCCCTTATCCCTGAGCATCACCAGGTGTGGCCCAAAAAACAAAAAAAGAAGAAAAGCTCTAAGAAAAGTGAGACAGTTAATTAATTATAAAAATGCATGAATTTTTAAAAAATTTTTATTAGTGAAGCACCATGGGGTATAGTTGTAGACTTAGAAATTTTGGTGCTTGGATTTCAGTTATACAGTGATCGAATACCCATCCCTCTGGTGATGGTGTGCCCATTCTCCACCACCACTGATCCCAGTAACCCTCCCACCACCCAAAAATGTATGAATTTTTTAAATGATGGTTTTTAACCAGAATTTACAAATTGGTGTAAATTGCTAGATCACCAGATATTAGATCATCTGTATAAATAGTTCTAACCTCTGGTCTGAAAAACTCATGTAACCAAATTTTAAAATTCTTTTACATGTTTTCTGTGAAAGTAAAGTAAAGTAAAGGCCCTCCCTTTGATCATCGATTTGCTCAAGCGGGCCCAGTAACGTCTCCATTGGAGACTTTGTTGTTACTGTGTCTGGCATCTCGAATCCGTCACGGGGAGCTTGCCAGGCTCTGCCGTGCGGGCGAGATACTCTCGGTAGCTTGCCGGGCTCTCCGAGAGGGGCGGAGGAATCGAACTCGGGTCGGCCATGTTGGCTGCGTGCAAGGCAGACGCCCTACCCGCTGTGCTATCGCTCCAGCCCCAAATGAAAAGCACTCCGTTGGTATGAAATAAGGCACTGCTGGGATTCGAACCCAGGATCTCCTGTTTACTAGACAGGCGCTTTAACCAACTAAGCCACGGCGCCAAAGACTCTTCTCATTAGAAAACTAAAATTCTCGTTGGGCTGGAGTGTTAGCACAGCGGTAGGGCGTTTACCTTGCATGTAGCCGGCCCAGCCAAGCCAGGTTCAATTCCTGTGCCCCTCTCAGAGAGCCCGGCAAACTACCGAGAGTATCTCAGCCCGTGCGGCAAAGCCTGGCAAGCTACCTGTGACGTATTCGATATGCCAAACACAGTAACAACAAGTCTCACGATGGAGACATTACTGGGCCCGCTTGAGCAAATCGATGAACAACGGGAGGACAGTGACCGTGACCCAAATTCTGGTTCTCCGAGGTCTAGGAATATTTAGTTATCACGTATATTTCTATGTTACCAATTTGTGTGTGTGTGCGCGCGCACGTGTGTGTGTGAGAAAGAGAAGCAAGATCATTTTTTTGAAACTTATTTAGAAAGATGTGAAGGGAGAGAAAGAAAAGTACCTGTAGGCTTTTCCAGAGTGGAAGTAGTCAAAAACATTGAGACAAGCCATCGATTTCTAGGGCCTTGGAGAGCAAGCCGTCTATGAAATCACTGACGCATTTGCATCAGGACTTTAAATTGATAGGAAACTCAGGTATTGCTCTCATCAGTATCAGTGATCGGTGGGGCTTTTAAAGTAAAGAATACTCATCGTTCATCCCGTCTCTCATTAAGAAAGTTCCAGTAGAGGGGCCTGGAGTGATAGCACAGCGGGTGGGGCGTTTGCCTTGCACGTGGCCAACCAGGTTCAGGTTCGATTCCCAGCATCCCATCTGGTCCCCTGAGCACCGCCAGGAGTGATTCCTGAGTGCAAAGCCAGGAGGAACCCCTGTGCATCGCCGGTGTGACCCAAAAAGCCAAAAAAAAGAAAAAGAAAGTTCCAGTAGAATTATTCCTAATGGCCTAGGTTTATGCTGTCCCTCAATACACGCTTTTGTTCCATTTTGTTGTTTTTGGGTTTTTTTTTCTTTTTTTTGCTTTTTGGGGTCACATCTGGCAATGCGCAGGGATTACTCCTGGCTCTGTACTCAGGAGTTACTCCTGGCGGTGCTCAGGGGACCATATGGGATGCTGGGACTCGAACCTGGGTCGGCCGCGTGCAAGGCAAGCGCCCTCCCCGCTGTTCTGTCTCTCCAGCCCCGTTTTTGGGTATTTCTTAAACCTATTTGATTTCTTTATTTTTCAGGTAACATTGGTTTACAACGCAGTTCTAGTTTTTGTGTGTACTGGTTTAATTTAATTTTGCTTCAAATTAATGTTGCTGTGCTAGGCCACTGCTAAATTAACACTGTCCCTCCGTGACCCATTGGGTCCTCTTCTACCCACCGTGCCTATGTTAATGACAGTATTTAGGAGGTCTTTGGGGGATTATTTTGCTGACAGTACCTCATTCTGAGGAAGTTTAAAGAATCGGGAGGTTCTAGGTATTTTAGTCATTTTATTTCTTGTGTTTATACTTAGCTGAAGGAATGTTTGTGTATTGCATTGAGAACATATGTCCTGTGTAGTTTAGATAAGTCTCGTAGTTGGGGTTACGTGTAAACAATTGTCTTAGAGAAGCTTGGGGAATGTTTGGGAAGATGACTTTGGAGAAAGATGTTTATAAGAATGAGGAAATGGGCGTCCCTTTAAAATCTAATAGCTATAATTAAGTTACACGTTGCATCTCTTTAGAAAAAAATCTTTAGAGGGCTGGAGTGGTAGCACAGCAGATCGGGCGCTTGCATCAGATGCAGCCAACTCAGGTCCTGTCCCCAGCATCCCATATGGTCCCCTGAGCACCGCTGAGTGTGCCTCCCCCCCCACAAAAAAAAAGTCTTTAAAGGCTTGGGGGCCTTGCACCTGTGAAGTCTTAGGTTCAATCCCCACCCCCACCCCCTGGAGTTCTTTATGATTTTGTAATTCCTGAAATAGAACCATAAAAGACAAATCAGGCTTTCAAAGACACTCTTTTCTTGATCTCTCCAGCTCATCTTTGTGGTCAAATGGTGTTTTTAGTTTTAGTCAGGACAGGATATTTTCTGTATGTTTATTCTTGGAGAATTTCTTCTTAACAAGCCTATCAGAAACACAATTTAGCCTATTTCTAAGTTTGTTTGTTTGTTTTTTTAAATAAAACACTGTTCAAGTTTATGACCCTAAGACCCAAAAAGTGAAAATGAAAATAAAATGAGATGAGACCAAATAGGTAGGGGTTTTTTTTGGGGGGGGTGGGTTTTTTGTTTGTTTGGGGGCCATACCTGCCGTACACGGGACTTAACTCCTGGTTCTGGGCTCTTTGATCACTCCTGGTGGGACTCAGAATCCTTGGGGTGCGAGGGAACAAACACAGTTGACGTGTGCCCGGCAGGCATCCTTCCCACTGGCCTGTCAAGTCAGCCCCAGTTCCGTAAAAGTACAAAGAGGTCGGGGCTGGAGCAATAGCACAGTGGGGAGGGCATTGGCCTCGCATGCGGCTGACCCGGGTTCAATCCCCGGCATCCCATAGGGTCCCCCAAGCACCACCAGGAGTGATCCCTGAGTGCAGAGTCAGGAGTCAGCCCTGAGCATCACTGGGTGTGACCCAAAAAGCAAAAATAAATAAATAAAGTACAAAGAGGTCGGCTGCAGTGATGCAGATGTGGCACAGAACTTCACTGAAGACTCATTTTCTTTTCCTTTCTATTTTGTTTTCCAGGTTATATTTCACACTATGTGCTGACTGTATCTACAGAAGATATTTAAAACAAAAAAAAAGATAAACTTTTTTCAAAGATTTTGATTCCAGTGGAATCTTTGCTTAAGCGTGTGTGTGTGTGTGTGTGTGTGTGTGTGTGTGTGTGTGTGTGTGTGTGTGTGAACCGAGACTCCAGACGCGATGCCGGTGCAAGCCCCGCAATGGACGGATTTCCTCTCCTGCCCCATCTGCACCCAGACTTTCGACGAAACCATCCGGAAGCCCATCAGTCTGGGCTGTGGCCATACTGTGTGCAAAATGTGCCTGAATAAACTGCACCGCAAGGCGTGTCCATTTGACCAGACCACTATCAACACGGACATCGAGTTCCTCCCCGTGAACTCAGCACTGCTGCAACTCGTCGGGGCTCAGGTATGGGGGGGCCCTGGGGACTGACCCCTTCACGTCTCTGGGCTGGTTCCACGGTCGCTTGAAATCCATTGCACTGCACATTGGGGAACACCTGCTGCAGTTTACAGCGATGAAGTTCTCTTCGGTACTGTGCCAGTCCGGGATTCCTAGTAGAAGATGAATTGTGAAACTGGTTCTCGGTTCTGTTTTAGTTAATAGTAACCACTTATTCTGATAGTCCAACTTTATCAGCGGCTTTAGCTATTCAGGTATCTTTAGAAACCCGACAGGTAAGTCACAGGGACATCTTCCTAGCCAGGAAAATAGCGCTCATTAAGCCATTGTGTTTTGGTGCCAGAGCGATAGCACAGCAGGGAGGGTGTTTGCCTTGCAACGCGGCCAACCCAGGTTCAATCCTCGGCATCCCCATAGGGTCCCCCCCAACACCGCCAGGAGTGATTCCTGAGAGCAGAACCAGGAGGAACCCCTGAGCATTGGCTGGGTTGGGTCCCCAAACCAAACAAACAAAAAAATCCAGTGTGCTTAATATTTAAACTGGAGCTGCTTCAGACAGTTTTCCTTAATAGACTGTAACTGAATCACAGGGCAAAAGGGGGGAAGGAATCCTGAAGAGCGAGGCCTTGGGGAAACACGTATTTCCAATCAGGTGAATGTCTCCAAGTACTGACCTATAAAAATTAACCTGGTAATTCCCAAGGTAACACATGGGAAGTATTTGGGTTTTGGGGTTTTTTTTTTTTTGCTTTTTGGGTCACACCCGGCAATGTACAGGGGTTACTCCTGGCTCTGCACTCAGGAGCTACTCCTGGCGGTGCTCAGGGGACCATATGGGATGCTGGGAATCGAACCCGGGCGGACCACGTGCAAGGCAAACGCCCTACCCGCTGTGCTGTTGCTCCAGCCCCCAACACATGGGAAGTTTTATATTAATGTTCTCAAATTAGAGATTGGTAGGTTCCAAAAAAGTCAAGGAAGCCAGGCGGGATTTTTTTTTTGTTTGTTTGTTTGTTTTTTGCTTTTTTGGGTCACACCCAGCGATGCACAGAGGTTACTCCTGGCTCATGCACTCATGAATTACTTCTGGCGTTGCTCGGGGAACCCTATGGTATGCTGGGAATCAAATCCGGGCGGCCGCCTGCAAGGCAACGCCCTACCCACTGTGCTCTCGCTCTAGCCCCGGAAGCCAGGTTTTTAAGAGCTCATTATTTAAGATTCACTTAACTCCTCACTAAACCAATGCAGCTCGTGTGAGTAGGCGGAAGCTTCCTACTTGTTTGTCATAAGTCATTTCTGAATAGATATTCTGGGACTGGGGACTGGCGGTGGGGTACGGGGGTTCAAGTGCATGCCAGGCATGTGACCGGACCCAGTTTGATCCCTGGCATGGCGTATGGTCCCTGAATGCCAGCAGGAGTGATCCGTGAGCAACACACCTTTGTCCTGATTGCAGGTCCCCGAGCAGCAGCCCATTACTCTGTGTAGTGGGATCGAAGATACAAAGCATTATGAGGAAGCCCGGAAATGTGTGGAAGAATTGGCGTTGTACCTGAAACCACTCAGCAGTGCCAGAGGTAAATCTGGCCTCATTATCCATGCTCATCTAAACGTTTATCATAAATGCTGTGTTTCCATAGTAGGTGTATGATACTGAGATTCATTTATCGTATGATAAGCCGATTGGTACTGCATAGCTCTGTTTATAAACCACGTCAAATTCACGATCACGATCATCCTGTTGTTCGTCGATTGCCTCAAGCAGGCACCAGTAACGTCTCCTTCGTCCTAGCCCTGAGATTCTAAAGTGTCACGTTCAAGGCTCTTTCAGGGTCAGGAGAATGAGACCCATCATTGTTGCTGGTGTTTGGCATATTGGGTATCCATGGGGAGTTTGCCAGACTCTGCCGTGTGGGCAGGTTACATTCGGGAGCCTGCCAGGTTGTCGAATGCAAGAATGAGATAATAAGATAATAAGACGTCAAGTTAGGTCCTGAGTTTTGGAGTCTATGTGATGGTGGATGCAATGGTTTAATAAAGTTTTAGGAATGGGGATGGAACTCGGTAGTAGAACTTTTTTGCCTTCCAGGTGTGAGGTCCTAGGTTCGATCCCTAGTGCTACAAAAAAGAGAGGGCGAAAGTAAATTGCTCAGTTAAATATAGATAGCCTAGTCGTATTGGAAGGATGCTCTATCAATTTTTTTTTCCCTTTCGGGTCACACCCAGTGATGCTCAGGGGTTATTCCTGGCTCTGCACTCAGGAATTACTCCTGGCGGTGCTCGAGGGACCATATGGGATGCTGAGAATCGAACCCGGGTCAGCCGTGTGCCAGGCAAACACCCTACCTGCTGTGCTATCACTCCAGCCCCATGCTCCATCATTTGACAGCTTTGAAATGTGTCATCTTCTATCTGTCTCAGACAGCATGCTGTCAGAGATACAATAAAGTTGTCATTTATGGGACCAGGGAGAGAGTATAGCAGGTAGGGTGCCTGCCTTATACACAGCCCACCTGAGTTCGATCCCCAGCACCCATGTGGACCCCAAGTCCACCAGGAGTGATTCTTGAGCACAGAGTCAGGAGTCAGCCCTGAGCATCGCTGGGTATGCCACCCACCAAAAAATTTTTTCATCGTGATGTTTCACTAGGAAAGTGAGGCTAACCACTATCAAAAATAATATGCCAGGACTGTAATAATCTCTAAATTTGGATTTTAAACTGCTTATTAATACTACATGTCTCCTTTTCTCTGTTTTTGCATGATTGAAACTCAGTGGGTCTTTTTTTGGGTTTTTTTTTTTTTTTTTTGCTTTTTGGGTCACACTTAGCCATGCTCAGGGCTGACTCCTGGCTCTGCACTCAGGAATCACTCCTGGCGGTGCTTGGGGGACCCTAGGGGATGCTGGGAATCGATCCTTGGTCGGCCGCGTGCAAGGCAAACGCCCTCCCCGCTGGGCTATCTCTCCAGCCCCAACACGTAGTGTATTTAATATCGCGATGAATGTTCCATTTGCATGTCATAGGCTTGAGGAATATAGTTTAGTGGTAGAGTACATGCTTTGCATGTGATAGGTCCAATGAGGCACCACCAAAATAAATTGCTTGAGACCTGGAGAGACAGTACAGCGGGCAAGTCTCTGGCTTTGCACTCTGCCAACCGGGGCTCATTCCCAGCACCCCAGATGTGGTCCCCCAAGCCCACCAGGACTAATTCCTCAGCACAGAGCCAGGAGTAAGCCCTGAACAACGCCAGAGCCAGGAGTAAGCCCTGAACATCGCCAGAACATACTTCAAAACAAGGTAAAGGTAAAGGCCCTCCCGTTGATCGTCAATTTGCTCGAGCGGGCCCAGTAACGTCTCCATTGGAGACTTTGTTGTTACTGTGTCTGGCATATCGAATACGTCACGGGGAGCTTGCCAGGCTCTGCCGTGCGGGCGAGATCCTCTCGGTAGCTTGCCGGGCTCTCCGAGAGGGGCGGAGGAATCGAACTCGGGTCAGCCATGTTGGCTGCGTGCAAGGCAAACGCCCTACCGCTGTGCTATCGCTCCAGACAAAATATATCGCTCCAGACAAAATATATTACTGGAGGCAACAACTTTTGTACACTTTCCAAATGCAGCCTGGCCTTCCTTTGTACCGGGTTTTCTTCCCTTTTTTGGGGGTGCTCGGGCGGCCCCACGAGTGATTTTTGGCCAAGAGGCCAACAGGAGGCAGAGGATGCTGTGCGTTCTGGGCCCCATGGTGGCAGAGAGGCTGCAGGGCTGACCCGGCTGTGCTCGGGGGATCATGTGGTGCTGAAAAGCAAGTGGAGGGGCTGGAGTGATAGCACAGTGGGTGGGCGTTTGCCTTGCACGCCGCCGACCTGGGTTTGATCACCAGCGTCCCATAGGGTCCCCCGCGCACCACCAGGAGTAACTCCTGAGTGCATGAGCCAGGAGGAACCGCTGTGCATCACCGGGTGTGACCCAAAAAGCCAAAAAAAAAGCAAATGGAGTCCGGGCGCGTCTGGGCACCCACATGGGCCCTGTGCTCTGTCAGCCGGCCTCCAGGTCATCACTAGCCGCAGTGGCCGTGCCAGCCCTGGTTAGCAGGAACCCCTCCTGCTCTCTGCAGCATGAACCTTCTCACTCTCCTTTGTCTCTCCCAGGAGTGGGTCTGAATAGCAGCACTCAGAGCGTCCTGAGTCGCCCGATGCAGAGGAAGCTGGTGACTCTGGTCCACTGCCAGCTGGTGGAGGAGGAAGGCAGGATCCGGGCCATGCGGGCCGCCCGGTCCCTCGGGGAGCGGACAGTCACGGAGCTCATCCTCCAGCACCAGAACCCCCAGCAGCTCTCCTCCAACCTGTGGGCCGCGGTCAGGGCCAGAGGCTGCCAGTTTCTCGGACCAGGTATTCATTCAAGTCACGCCGGATAGACCAAAGGCATTTGGGGGCGCAAGTGATGGACAAAGGCGGGGTCTTCCCGGGCTCCAGACACCAGCTCATAGCCCAGCGTACTTCATTCAGACTCTTTCCTGCTCATGAAATGTGATAGGAAATTGACCCCAAGGTGACTCGGAAGAACGGTTTCTGAAAAGCACAGCTACAAGTGTCTTGTTACTACATTACCCATTAATTCTTTTATTTTTGCTTTTTTTCTTTTTTGTGGGGGGGGCGTCACAACGGCATCGCACAGGGATTTCTCCTGGCTCTGCACTCAGGAATTACCCCTGGCGGTGCTCAGGGGACCCTATGGGATGCTGGGAATCGAACCCGGGTTGGCTGCATGCAAGGCAAACGCCCTATCTGCAGTGCTATTGCTCCAACCCCAATTCTTTTATTTTGTAATTTCATTTTTATTTTATTTTATTTGCTTCTTGGGTCCCACCCGGCGATGCACAGGGGCTACTCCTGGCTCGGCACTCAGGAATTAACTCCTGGTAGTGCTTGGGGGACCCTATGGGATGCTGGGACTTGAACGCAGGTCGGCCACATGCAAGCAAAAGCCCTCCCCGTTGTGCTATTGCTCCAGCCCCCTATTTTATTTTTATAAAGTTGTTCTCAATAGTTCATTGCAGATAATAATCACACAACAATCCCAACCACCGTGCACCTTCCCACCCCCATCGAGGAAAGTGCGTGAAGATAGTTGTATTTCATCCTGGAGCCATTTAAGCCCTTGTGTAAGAGGTTACAACGTGTATGTTAAACCCAAACATATGTGTGCTGCTCTTGTGTGCTACTCTACATCAGTGGACTGGAGTATAAGAGATTGCGCGGCCTCATTTGCGGCCATGTGCTCCAGGCCATTCTGTGTCATTCTCTTCTGGAAGCTGTATCTCATAGTCTCTGGATCTTGGCCATTGATGAGATTACATGGCACCAGAGGAAGTTTGTGGGTATGACTGCCAAGCTCCTGGAAAACTGGGGAGATGGGGGGAAGGAGGCCCAGTCCTGTTCCAGGTGAGCTTGGAGATCTCAGTCACGGGTTCCCGCATACCTGGGTTTTCCTACCGGTTCCGAACCTCTTGGGTGAGGCTCATCGGAGCCTGTGGAGAGCGGCCTTGAGTAAGGCTGTGGCTGGGTTCTGGAGGTTTTCGGCTGTCGGGGTTCTGCTGGGGTGGGGAGGGAAACTCACCCACCCCTTGCCTGTTCTTTCTTTCTTTCTTTCTTTCTTTCTTTCTTTCTTTCTTTCTTTCTTTCTTTCTTTCTTTCTTCCTTCCTTACTTCCTTCCTTTCTTTTTAATTTTTATTAGTGAACACCATGAGGGACAGTTGTAGACTTACAAATTTTTTGCTTGGGTTTCAGTTATACAATGTTTGGGTACCCATCCCTCCACCAGTGGCCATTCTCCACCACCACTAATCCCAGTATCCCTCCCACCCCCCAAACCCCTGTCCCACTCTACCTCTGTGGCAGGGCATTCCCTTTTGTTCTCTCTCTCCTTTTGGGTGCTGTGGTTTGCAAAAGAGGCGTTGAGTGGCAGTCATATTCGGTCTAGAGTCTACTTTCAGCATGCATCTCCCATCCTGGGAGGATCCTCCCAACACCCTTTATTTGGTGCTCCCTTCTCCCTCTGAGCTGCCTTTTCCCCTAGCATGTGCAGCTGGCCTCCAAGCCATGGAGTGAACCTCCTGGTACTTATCTCGGCTGTTCTTGGGTGTTAGTCTCTTATTTTGTTACTTTATATTCCCCAGATAAATGCAGTCTTTCTATGTCTGTCCCTCTCTTTCTGATTCATTTCACTTAGCATGATACTTTCCATGTAGTACCACTTGTATGTAAATTTCATGACTTCATCTTTTCTAACAGCTGCATAGTGCTCCATTGTGTAGATGTTCCAAAGTTTCTTTAACCAGTCATCTGTTCTCGTGGTCCGTTAATTCTTAAGTGGTCCTTGCAGATAGCACCAGATCTGCCCTTTTCAGCAAAGGGGTTCTCTTCTTCACATCATGACTTTTTGTCTTCTCCGCCTTCTAGCAATGCAGGAGGAAGCTTTGAAGCTGGTTCTGCTGGCCCTTGAAGATGGCTCTGCTTTGTCAAGAAAAGTTTTGGTTCTCTTTGTGGTGCAAAGGTTGGAACCCCGGTTTCCTCAGGCCTCTAAGACCAGCATTGGGCACGTTGTCCAACTCCTCTACAGAGCCTCGTGCTTCAAGGTAGGAACTGCTGATGTTTCATTGTGCTGGGTGGCTTTGGCCTGTGAGCGGTACTCAGTGAATTGACTGGAGATATCTTCTTGGAGGATTTCAGCAGCTTCATTTTCTATTTGAAAAGTTAATGATACCCTGCTGGGGGAAGAGGCAGCTCAGATAGAGAAGAGAACACCAATTAAAGGGTGTTTGGAGGACTCGCCCTGGATGCGAGATGAGGTAGCCTATAGACCGAACACGATGGCTACTCGGTGCCTCTATTGCAAACCATGACACCCTAAGGAAACGAGTGAGCAAAAGGGAATGCCCTGCCACAGAGGCGGGATGGGGTGAGGGGGATAGGGTGGGGGGTGGGGTGGTGGAGAATGGGCTCTGGTGGAGGGTTGGGTACTCGGTCATTGTATCATTGAAATCCAAGCACGAAAGTTTGTAAGTCTACAACTGTACCTCTTGGTGTTTCACTAATTAAAAAAAAAAGGTAATGATGCCCTATTATAGTAATTCCTAATGTGTCGAATTTTGTTTTGTTTTTGTTTCTGGTTTTGGCCATGTGCAAGGCACGCGCCCTATCCACTACACTGTCTGTCCCCATCAGTATGTTGGATTTTATGTTACGTATTGAGCTACAATGCCTATAGATTTTTGTTACTCAAGAGATTAATAGTTCTGAGCATTTCTGGATATAGACCCCTTCCCCCACCACCAAATGAGCACTTTAATGCACTTTTTTTTTTTCTTTTTGGGTTACAACGGGTGATGCTCAGGGGTTACTCCTGGCTCTGCACTCAGGACTTAGTCCTGGTGGTGCTCGGGGAACCCTATGGGATGCTGGGAATCAAACCCGGGTCAGCCATGTGCAAGGCAAATACCCTATCCACTGTACTACCGCCCCGGCCCTTTAATACACTTTAGATCACGTGTTTTTGTTAAAAATCTATTCAGTCCTTGGGTTTCTTTCCAACATGCTCTTTCAGGTCATTCTGTAGACCTAGCCAGAAGATTTTGACATCTGTAGGGGGAAAAAAAAACAGGGGCATGTTTCATTGTAATCTTGATACTGCTTCGTGTAGTGTATATATATATTCACGTATTATTGCAAAAATAGCTAAAGCACAGTGGGTAGGCGTTTGCCTTGCATGCGGCTGACCCGGGTTCGATTCCTCCACCCCTCTCAGAGAGCCCGGCAAGCTACTGAGAGTATCTTGCCCACAGGACAAAGCCTGAGGTATTCAGTATGCTAGAAACAGTAACAAGAAGTCTCACAATTTGTTGTGAGATGTTACTGGTGCCCACTGTAGCAAATTGATGAACAATGAGAGGACAGTGCTACAGTGCTGATGTTGCAAAAAAAAAAAATCAACGTTGGTCCCATCAAGTGTAACATTGGTCCTCTCAAGCGTCAGCATCAGCCCAGTTTTGTCTCCTACCCTGACTCACTTCATGGTCTTCTTGTGTGTTGCTTTAGGTCACCAAGCGTGACGAAGACTCTTCCCTGATGCAGCTGAAGGAAGAGTTTCGAACCTACGACGCGCTGCGGCGAGAGCACGACTCGCAGATTGTGCAGATCGCCATGGAAGCGGGTTTGCGCATCGCCCCTGACCAGTGGTCCTCCCTCCTCTACGGGGACCAGTCCCACAAGTCTCACATGCAGTCCATCATCGACAAGGTGGGCACCGGTGCCAGCACGCAGCACAGTTCTGCCAGACGCTTAGAAGTTGGTTTCGGGCCGGAGCATTAGCACAGCGGGGAGGACATTGGCCTTGCATGTGGCCGACGTGGGTTCGATTCCCGGCATCCCATGTGGTCCCCCGAGCACCGCCAGGAGTGATTCCTGAGTGCAGAGCTGGGAGTCAGCCCTGAGCATCACCGGCTGTGACCCAAAAAGGGAGGAAAAAAAAAGTCTATTAAACAAAAAGAACAAGAAAGAAAAATTGTATTCTCAGTAGCTGAGTATCGTGTCCTAAGTATGATACTCATAGACAGCCGTCAGTTCCTGTAAAGATTTGATTCTTCGTCACAGCGATTTTTTTTTTCATCCGTTGCATTCTCCTGTTTGAGTGTCTCTGGCTCTATTTTACTCTCGCTTTTCCTTTTATTATACTCTTGAGTTTCTGTGTGTGTGGGGGGGCGGTTGTTTGTTTGTTTGTTTGTTTCCTTTTTGTTTTTTAAAGAAGACCTCGGCTTGCTCTTGTAAGATTCTATAAGGAGATTGGTCTTCTTGTATGAGCTTACTTGGATAATAGGTATATTTTCTGTAGTAATTTTTTTGGGTTTTTGGCTTTTGAAATCTCTCCGGGATCTCTCCTGGTGGGGCTAGAGGCACCATCTGGAGTGCCAGGGATCGAACCCTGGCCGATCGTGTGCAAGTGCCCTACCCGCTGTACTCCAACCCCTATATTAATCTTCTGAATTTATTTAACACCCAGAGCGGACCCAAAAGTAACAAATAGGGGCTGGAGCCATAGCCCAGTGGGAAGGGCGTTTGCCTTGTATGCGACCAACCCAGGTTTGATCCCCAGCATCCCACAGGGTCCCTGAGCACCACCAGGAGTGATTCCTGAGTGCAGAGCCAGGAGGAACCCCTGTGCATCGCCGGGTGTGATCCAAAAAGGAAAAAACAAAAACGTTTCTTAAACTTCAAAAATGACTGTGGTGTATACATGATCTTCATCTTCGAAGCAGGCTCTGGACCCCGGGTGAGTGTTACGTCTCTGTCTCAGTTGCAGACCCCGGCCTCCTTCGCACAGAGCGTGCAGGAACTGACCATTGCCCTGCAGCGGACTGGAGACCCGGCGAACTTGAATCGCCTGCGACCCCACTTGGAGCTTTTGGCCAACATCGACCCTAGTCCGGGTAAGCCCAGGAGAAACGAAGCCTTGATTTCCTTAAGTCCCTCTAGAATTTCTCATCAGAGTTGTTCCAGATGCGCCCTGAGTTCTCAGGTTGGTTTAGTTATTCTTTTGCTCTTTGGGCCACACCTACTAATACTCAGAGGTTCCTCCTCACTCTGCAGTGCTCACGGCTCACTCCTGGCATGGCTCAGGGAACCGTGTGGGATGCCGGGATTGGGCCCAGTTCATCCCTGTGCAAGGCAAGGTCCCTAACCCTGTACTACCTTTCTGGCCTGTCAGTTCCCTTTTGTGTTTTTTTTTTGCTACGTTTTGTGTTGCTTCTTGGGGCACACCCAGCAATGCTCAAGAGTTGCTCCTGGCTCTACACTCAGAAGTTATTCCTGGCATCACTGGGGGATGCTGGGGATCAAAACTGGGTTGGCCGCATGCAAGGCAAACGCCCTCCCGCCTGTACTATTGCCCCGGCCCTGGCCCTCCGTTCCCTTTGTTGTTGTTTTGTTTTGTTTTTTGTTTTGTCACACCCAACAATGCACAGGGGTTACTCCTGGCTCATGCACTCAGGAATTACTCCTGGCGCCGCTTGGGGGACCCTGTGGGATGCTGGGAATTGAACTGGGGTCGGCTGCATGCAAGGCAAATGCCCTCCCCACTGTGCTATCGCTCCAGCCCCGCCTCCCTACCCTTTGGAAGGTGTCCCCTTGTCTTTTCACGAATAGCGAATCGTATCTCTCTTTCCTCTATCTCACTGGTCACCAAAGCCAGAGTGACCCTCAGTGATGCCCTCTGACAAAAGTGCCCCCGTATTTCCATCACTCCTTACAAAACCCCAGTTGTGTCCCGTGGCCTCCAGAGGCCTCCCGTGACTTGTTTTTCACGAGGTGCTCCCACCTCCACAAAATACCGCCTAGGAGAGCCAGAGAGCCGTGTGGAACCTGACTCCATCCCCCTGGATGCCACCTGACAGCCGAAGTGCTTCCGGGCCGGCGTCTTCCTTCCTGACGGTTGCTCTCTCTCTGGTTTCTTGCATAGACGCTCCTCCCCCTTCTTGGGAGCAGCTGGAAAACGGGCTGGTTGCCGTGCGCACCGTGGTCCACGGGCTGGTGGATTACATCCAGAACCACAGCAAGAAAGGAGCGGACCAGCAGCAGGTACCACAGTGCGCCATGGCCACTGATCGCATCGGGGTGTGATTATTGCGAGGGGCTTTCTGACGACAGAACTGTTAGGCTGGTTCAGCCGAAGCATCACCAGTCATCCTTTTCATAGGCCTGTTTTAGACTTTCCGTGTTCCTATTCTATACGTCTTTGGGTCGCATAAAAATTCTTCAACAAATGTAGAAGTTGAAGAAGGCCTCATGTAGGCTCAGTGTTACCTACGGTGGGTGGCGTGGCTCCCTGGGGTGCTAGAGCAATCCTAGTGGGGGCAGTAGCTGCCTCAGGTGCAGTTGTGGGTGCATTTCATACATAGAAATCGACTTACAAGTAAGCAGTCTGCATAGAAAGTCGGTTTCTGGGGGAGCACTGAGTGTTATTTGTTGGTTGGTTTGGGGGCCACACCTGGCAGTGCCTCCGGACCTACTCCTGCCTCTGTACTCGGCAATCACTTCTGGTGGCTGGGGGGACCCAGTGGGATGCTGGGGATCGAACCCGGGCAGCTGTGTGTAAGGCAAATGCCCTACACACTGCACTATCACTCTGGCTCCTTTTTTTCCCCTTACTTTTGTTTTTTTATCTGAGAAAGTGTTCCGTATGCAAAAAAAAAAAGTTTAGGAACCTCTGATCTAGGTGCCCAAGATCCTAAAATGGCAGCGCAGAATTCACAGGGTGTGTGTGTGTGTGTGTGTGTGTGTGTGTGTGTGTGTTAATGATGAACTTTGCCTTTGCTCTAGCCTCCACAGCACAGCAAGTACAAGACGTACATGTGTCGGGATATGAAGCAGCGAGGAGGGTGCCCCCGTGGGGCCAGCTGCACCTTTGCACACTCTCAGGAGGAGCTGGAGAAGTGAGTGACGGTCGCCGGACTCACCCTCTGAGAGCTACCAGAGAATCCGTGGCCTGCGGGGGGAGCTCATCCAGCAGTGTTTGTGGGTGGCGGTTGCTCCCAGCGACCCACAGGCCACCATGGGCTATGGCCAACCCTGGTCTAACCCCTAGGACAACATCTGGCCCTTTAGCACCATCAGGAGTGATGGGTGCCCTCGGCACAGCCCGTGTGACCCCCCAAAAAATCAAAACAAAAACTGATTTTATTTTTTAATTAGACTCTGATTTATAATATTCTTAATGGTAATATTGCAGTAAGGTAAGGTAAGGTAAAGGCCCTCCCGTTGATCATCGATTTGCTCGAGCAGGCCCAGTAACGTCTCCATTGGAGACTTTGTTGTTACTGTGTCTGGCATATCGAATACTCTCGGTAGCTTGCCGGGCTCTCCGAGAGGGGCGGAGGAATCGAACTCGGGTCGGCCATGTTGGCCGCTTGTAAGGCGAACGCCCTACCCGCTGTGCTATTGCTCCAGCCCAAATATTACAGTATTTTAGAAAAAAAAATATATTTGTATATATGTACACCTCAACACAATAGCTAAAATATGTTGTTGATGTGTAGAATTTCAAGAAAATTCTAGAAAAATAATTTGCTTGAGAACTGGGAGCCATAATACAGGGGTCGGGGCGTTTGCCTCGCATGTGGCTGACATGGGTTCGATCCCCGGCATCCCCTAGGGCCCCCTGAGCACCACCAGGAGTGATTCCTGAGCACAGAGCCAGGAGTCAGCCCTGAGCATCGCTGGATGTGACGCAGAAACAACCTTCCATTAAAAAGAAAGAAAAGATCGTGCTCAGAATCTTTCCCAACACACATTTTATTGGGGGGAAGGGGCAGCACCCCGTGATGCTCAGGGCTTCCTCCTGGCTCTGCACTCAGGAATTAGTCCTGGGCTGGAGCAGTAGTACAGCAGGTAGGGTGTTTGCCTTGCACACGGCCAACCCAGGTTCGATCCCCAGCATCCCATAGGATCACCCGAGCACCGCCAGGAGTGGTTCCTGAGTTCAGAGCCAGGAGTCAGCCCTGAGCATTGCCAGATGGGACCCAAAAAGCAAAAAATAAAATAAGAATTAGTCCTGCTGCTGCTCTGGGATGCTGGATCAAGCCATAGTCGGCCGCATGTGAGGCGGACACCCTCCCCGCCGTGCTGTGGCCCGGACCCTGTTTGTTTCCTGGCCTTGCCTCTGTGACGTTGGCTCTGCTCCCCGTACAGATTTCGGAAAATGAACAAGCGCCTGGTGCCCAGAAGGCCCCTGAGTGCCTCCCTAGGCCAGCTGAATGAGGTGGGCCTCCCCGCCGCCGCTCTGCTGCCCGAGGAAGGCGCCGTGGACCTGCCCGGCAGGAAGACCCCTGCGCTGCCCAACGGGATTGTGGCGGCGGGGACCACCGTGGCGAAGCTGATTCCCCGGGGGACGGAGCCCGGCTACGACGCCAGCCTGAAGCCGGGCAAGATGGAGCATCTGAGCAGCAGCGCACCCGGCTCCCCGCCCGACTTGTACGTCCCGCGCGCACCCCACTTCCCCTCCAGCACATTAGGGTGTTGGCGCCCAGGGCTGTGGCCTGGCAGGTGTCCTTCCCCATGGGGCCCTCTGAGGACAGAGCCAGGAGTCAGCCCTGAGCACTGCTGGGTAGCACTGTCGCACTGTCCTCCTGTTGTTCGTCGATTTGCTCGAGCGGGCACCAGTAGCGTCTCCATGGTGAGACTTGTTCCTGTGTTTGGCATCTCGAATACTCCACGGGGAGCTTGCCAGGCTCTGCCATGCAGGTGGGATACTCTCGGGAGCTGGCCAGACTCTCCGAGAGGGGCAGAGGAATCGAACCCAGGTCAGCCACGTGCAAGGCAAATACCTTACCCACTGTGCTATCACTCCGGCACTGCTGGGTATGGCCAAGAAATACAAAACAAAACAGAAAGTTAAATTTATTAAGAAAATGGTGGGGGGGGTGTTGTGCACCTGGAGCAATACTACAATGGGGAGGGCGTTGGCCTTGCACGCGATCAACCCGGGTTCGATCCCCAGCATCCCATATGGTCCCTGAGCACCGCCAGGAGTGATTCCTGAGTGCAGAGCCAGGAGGAACCCCTGAGCATCGCCGGGTGGGACCCAAAAAAGAAAAAAAGAAAATGGGGGGGGGGGAAATGCTAGTTTTGTTTCTTAAATGTTTGAGAGGGGACTTTATTTTTTCTGTAGGAGTGGTTTTTCTTAGAAACAATCAGTGTAGGGGAAATAAGGAAGTTTTCAGAGAGACACTGTTAAACACATTTCCCAGATCATGGAACAATTCTTTTAACTTGAAACATTCTTTTCTTTTTTTAATCGAATCACCCTGAGCTGCAGTTACAAAGTGTTCCTGTTTGAGTTTCAGTCATACAGTGAATTTCAGTCATACCCGTCCCTCCACCAGGGCACATTCCCTATCACCAAGGTTCCCAGTGTCCCTCCCTCTCCGCAACCCCCTCACCCCCCTATCCCATGAAGCTCCCCTGTGCCCTGTGTGCACGCTTAGGACCACTAGGTGCCGCCTTAAAGTTGATTTTGCAAATCTCTGCTGCTAGGCTCGATGCTGCCCCGAAGAGCATTTCTGCCTTACCTGTGAACCCGCACCCGGTGCCTCCAAGGGGGCCCGGAGACCTGCCCTCTCTGCCTGTCACCAAACCACCCCAGATGGTGTCTCGAGGGTCTCCACTCTACCCAGCGCAGCAGGCGGACGTGTATTATCCGGATCCCCGAGGGACGGCCGCGCCCCCCTTTGAGCCAGCACCGTACCAGCCAGGTGATGACCTCGTTTGGAACAGCCTCGTCAAGACAAGCTTTTATTGTTTTTTTTGCATTTTTTTAATTAATGCACTTTTATTTATTTTTTAAATACTTGGGGGAAACTGAGATTTTAATGATGCACTGAGTAGGATGGAATAAATGAAGTTACAGGAAGCCAAAAAACAAAGACAAAACAAAACAAAAAAGCAAATTGCCCCCTGCTAAGGCTTGTTACCCTGGGGCTGGAGAGATAGCACAGCGGGTAGGGCGTTTGCCTTGCACGCGGCCGACCCGGGTTCGATTTCCAGCATCCCATATGGTCCCCTGAGCACTGCCAGGAGTGACTTTTGAGTGCAGAGCCAGGAATAACTCCCGTGCATCTCCGGGTGTGACCCAAAAAGCAAAAAAATTAAAAAAAAAAAAGACTTGTTATCCATTAAATATGCTCACAGATTGTGGAAGTAGCAAATCACCCAGCTAAACCATGGGAATTTGCTGAGTCAGACAATGTTTCTTTTCCCTCACCAGAACTTTCCTCGGCGTGGAAGGAAAGAGTATCAGTGGATAGGTTGAATCTAGAGGGCTATGTTAAAGGTGTTCTGAGGCTGGGGTGTATCGAACACATGTGTCGCATGTGGGAGGCCTAAGTGTAATCCCCAACACTGTATGACCCCTGAGCACTGCCAGGAGTGGCCCCCCTTTTTTTCCCCAAAGTGTTTTTTGTTTCTTTGTTTTTAACAAATTGCTTTTTTCCCCCCTTTCCCAGTCTTAGTTTTGAATTACAAATACCTTCTCTGAGCTCAAAAGAATCAAAGTAGAGAGCGCCACCAGTATCGCTCAAGTCTGATCCGAGCTGATCTGGACGTTCCTTTGATTCACCAGAGCAGGAAGCGGCAACTCGAGGCGACCTCCCCTCGGTTTGGTGGGGGGGTGGGCGGCGCAGTAATGAGCATGGTGGAGAGGCTTAGGTACTTGATTGAGGAAGAGGCGCGGTAACTGTGTATCAAAACGCTGGGTAAAACTTGGCTCCTAAACTATGATAATTTTTTTTTCTTTTTGGGTCCCACCCAGCGATGCTCATGGGGTTCCTCCTGGCTCTGCACTCAAGAGTCACTCCTGGCGGTGCTCGGGGGACCCTAGGGGATGCTGGGGATCGAACCCGGGTCGGCCGCGTGCAAGGCAAACGCCCTCCCTGTTGTGCTATCGCTCCGGCCCTAAACCATGATGATTTAAAAATATTAAAATATGGCACCGCCAGGAGTCATTTCTGGGTGCAGAACCGGGAGTAACTGCTGAGCACCGCTGGGTGTGACCCAAAAAAGCAAAAAGGAAAAAAAAAAATAGAACTCTGCAGTAGCTACAAGAGCCGCACCCACAGAATGGATCTTTTGCGTGCCAGGTTCTGTTTGAACTTTGGTGTTGGTTGGTTGGTTGGTTTTGGTTGCCAGTGTATTCTATCAAAGCTCTCCAGAAAATCTAAAACAATGACGAGAATCAAACTAGGTAGGTGGGTTTTTTCCGGTAACGTCTAAGGATATTTTCCCTGGTTTTTTTTTTTTTTTTTTTTTTTTTTTTTTTTTTTTTTTTGGCGTCACACCTGGCGATGCACAGAGGTTCTTCCTGGCTCTGCACTCAGGAGTTACTCCTGGTGGTGCTCAGGGGACCCTGTGGGATGCTGGGGATCGAACCCGGGTCGGCTGCATGCAAGGCAAACGCCCGCCCCGCTGTGCTGTCTCTCCAGCCCCCTCTCCCGTGTTATTTTATTTTTTTATTTTTCGCTAAGCTGACCCCGTAAGCAGAAGGGAGTGAACAGACTGTTCGTTCCTCCATGCTGAAGCTCCCTTCTGGGTGGCCCTTCGTGGGAAAGGAAGGCCCCCCGAAACCGGCGTGGGCAGGCTCACGGGCGTCTCGTCTCTCCCTCCAGGCATGTACTACCCGCCGCCGCCACCCTGCGTCTCCCGCTTCGTGCGTCCGCCTCCCACCACCGCTGAGCCTGCGCCCCCCTACCTGGAGCATTACCCGCCCTACCTGCAAGAGCGCGTGGTGAGCTCGCAGTACGGCGCCCAGCCGCAGCAGTACCCGCCCATGTACCCGCCGCACTACGACGGCCGCCGGCTCTACCCGCCCCCGTCGTACGGGCGCGAGGAGGTCTTCCGGGAGAGCCCCGTGCCCCTCGACATCCCGCCGGCCGCCGTCCCACCCTACGTGCCCGAGCCCCGGGAGCGCTACCCGCAGATGGACGCTTACTACCCCGTGTCTCCGCACCCCGCGCAGCTCCGGCCCTACGTGCGGGTATGGCCCTTCCCAACATCAGGACCGTTTGTAGCACTTGGTTTTGTTCTTTCTTTGTAATGGGATGGGGGCGGGGGGGCAGACCCAGGAGACCCAGCATTGCTTAGTGGCTATTCCAGGCTCCCATTGCAGTCAAATTACCACTGGCAGTGCTGGAGTCGGGTGGGGAGGACGCACAGTCCAGGGGTCCAATCTAGGCCTCTTGCAGCCGGGGCAATACCACATCCAGGTGGGCATTGGCCTTGCACACAGCTGACCTGGGTTCCAAACCCGGAATCCCCTAGGGTCCCCCGAGCACCACCAGGAGTGATCCCTGTGTGCATGCATGAGCCAGGAGTAACTGCCTGAACATTGCTGGGTGTGACCCAAAAAGCCCCCCCCCAAAAACAAAACAAAAAAAAAAACAAATCTAGGCCTCTTTACTTGCTAAGATGACCTTCAGCCTACTGGGCTATCTCCTTGCCCCTCTCAGTGACTTTTTTTTTCTCTTTCACCTTTTTGCAATGATAATTATCCTTTGACCGAGTCTTTTAAGAGGAAGTTGTCTTTTTTGTTGTTTTTTTAAAATATGATTTGGATAATGGTTTTGTTTTGGAGGCTACACCCGCAGTGCTCAGGTGTTACTCTTGGTTCTGAGCTCAGGAATTAATTTGTGGTGGAGCTCGGGGGACCATATGGGATGTCGGGAATTGAACCCAGGTCTGAGGTGTTCGGGTAAGCACACCCTTCACATACACACACGCGCAGACACACCCATCCCTGCTGCACTGTCTGCTGTGGCCGGGGTTTGTTTCGTTTTAGTCTTAAAGGTCCCCTGGGCTGGAGCGATAGCACAGCGTGGAGGGCCACGGGTTCCTCCTGGCTCTGCACTCAGGAATTTTTGGGTCACATCACCAGGTGTGACCCAAAAAGCAAAAAAAAAAAAAAAGGAAAGGTCCCCCACCCCTGAAGAAATTGACACTTCTTAATTTCTGAGTTTTAGGTGTTTTTATTAACATTTTTAGATCTATTTGGAAATGGTGATCTCTGGCCGAAAAAATTTATCTTTGGCGCTGTGGGAAATCGTGAGACTTTGGTGGTCCGCTTTGTTTGATTGTCTGGATATTTGTAGATGCTAATTAAGATGGGCAGACCAGCTGCTGCATCGGGACCGCGCCGGGTGCGATTGCGGTTTAGTTTTCGCGCTTCCTCCCCTTCCCAGGAGTCTCCTTACGGCCGGTTTCCTCCGCCGCCGCAGCCACACCCCAGCCTGGACGAACTGCACCGGCGCCGGAAGGAGATCATGGCCCAGCTGGAGGAGAGGAAGGTCATCTCCCCGCCGCCCTTCGCGCCCTCGCCCACCCTGCCGCCCGCCTTCCATCAGGAAGAGGTCAGCGCGGAATTTCGGCCTCATTTACCCCTTTTTCCCTCCTCGGTACTTGCTTGTCTCATGACTAGGTCCTCTTTGCCTGCTCCCAAAGCTATGACGACATCTCTCCCTCTCCCTCTCTCTTGCTCTCTTCTCTTCCCTTCCCTTCCCTCTCCCTCTCCCTCTCCCTCTCCCTCTCCCTTTCTCTCTTCTCTCTCCTTCTCTCCCTCTCCCTCTACCTCTCCCTCTCTTTTCTCTTCTCTCTCTCTCTCTCTCCCTCTCTCGCTGTCGCTCTCGCTCGCTCTCTCTCGGTACTCACGGGGCCACTTCCTGTTTGGTTTCCCCATCTGCAGTTTCTGGATGAAGACTTGAAGGTGGCGGGCAAGTACAAGGGGAATGACTACAGCCAGTACTCGCCCTGGTCCTGCGACACCATCGGCTCCTACATAGGCACCAAAGACGCAAAGCCCAAGGACGCGGTGGCGTCGGGGAGCGTGGAAATGATGGTAAGTGGGGGAGTCGCGCCGGGTTGTCGCATCGAGGGACCAGAGCGCCCATTCGTGAGCGAGCAGACATCGGGACTTCTCAGGGGATGTGTGTGTTTGGAGCCATGCCCGGCGGTGCTCAGGGCTGACTTCTGGCTCCGTGCTCAGGAATCACTGCTGGCGGGCTCAGCGGGCCCAAGGGACACCGGGACTCTGACCCAGTTCGGTGGCTTGCAAGGCAAATGCCCTCCCCAACCCTCCCTTTGGCTGGCCCCAAGCATTCGTGACTTCCTGGTCTCAGAATTTGAAACCAGAGTTTGTTCTGTGCCATTTAATTCTGTTTAAACTGTACTCTCGGGTAATATGAACAACAATCAACAATCTTTTTTTTTCTTTTTGGGTCACACCCGGCTATGCACAGGGGTTACTCCTGGCTCTGCACTCAGGAATTGCTCCTGGCGGGGGACCCTATGGGATGCTAGGAATCGAACCTGGGTCCTGTTTGCATGTAAGGCAAATGCCCTCCCCACTGTGCTATCGCTCCAGCCTGGAATAGCAGTCTTTTAATACACAAAGAAAGCACATATTTCTGTATACCCAATAGCTGTGTAGAATCAAAATGCAGTGTAATTAGGAGGTTGGGTTTCTCCCCCCCCCCCCCAAAAAAAAGAATGGCCCTTATATCTGAAGTTTTATTTTTTTGTTTTTTTTTGTTTTTGGATCATACCCGGCGATGCACAGGGGCTACTCCTGCCTCATGCACTCAGGAATTACTCCTGGCAGTGCTCAGGGGACCATATGGAATGCTGGGAATCGAACCCAGGTCAGCCACGTGCAAGGCAAATGCCCTCCTGCTGTGCTATTGCTCTAGCCCCTATTTGAAGTTTTAAACAACAGAATTGAATCTAGTGATCAAAATAGTATTTGAATCCGGGTTGTAGCAGCTTAGCTTCAAGTGATTTGTCTGATATACTGAAATATAGTCACGCCTTTGGGGGCAGGGGTCCTGGGTTTTTGTTTTTGTTTTTTGAATGAAAATGTTACACCAGTGTGTAAGTGTATATCCATTTGACAAGCTTATGTTGTCCCTTTTAAATATAACAGTGTTAGAATAACACAGTGTTGCCGGAGCGATAGTTCAGTAGGTCCGGGGCTTGCCTTTCGCGCAGCTGACCCGGCTCCAATCCAGCATTGAGTTCCCTGAGCACCACCAGTGTGGCCCAGAAACTGACTATCAGCACGAGAATAATGAATACGTTTCCTGTACTAAGGGTTACTGTTTGTCACGACACACCAACATTATATGAAAGATAGTGGGGAGTGAGTACAGAGATTGAAGCAATGCTTTTATCAGCTATCCAAAGGTCATGAATTACTTCGGTGTTCGGACACAGAGCATTGTATTAGGATTTCATATTTTTGGCTTGGGGGCTGGAGCGATAGCACAGCAGGGTAGGGCGTTTGCCTGGCACGCGGCCAACCCAGGTTCAGTTCCTCCACCCTTCTCGGAGAGCCTGGCAAGCTACTGAGAGTATCCTGCCCGCAAGGCAGAGCCTGGCAAGCTCCCTGTGGCGTATTCGATATGCCAAACACAGTAACAAGTCTCACAATGGAGACGTTACTGGTGCCCGCTCAAGCAAATCGATGAACAAAGGGATGACAGTGACCGTGGTTTGGGGGGGGGGACTTACCTAACAGTGCCCAGGGGCTGTTCACAACTCAAGAGTGACCCCTGCTGATACTGGGACCCCGGGTGTTCTCTCTGCCCTGGAGCCTTGATGTGAATCTTCCTAGAGAGAGAAAGAGAGGAGGTTGGGGGCGCAGTTCCCAGGCGGGCTTCTCCTCATGGTCCTCTGTACAGAACGTCGAGAGCAAAGGAATGAGAGACCCGAGGCTGGATCTTCAGAGAAGAGCCGCGGAAGCCAGCGATGACGACCTCATTCCGTTCGGGGACCGGCCCACAGTCTCGCGCTTTGGCGCCATATCCCGGACGTCCAAAACGCTCTACCAGGGAGCTCCCCCAAAGTCGTTGAACCTGCCAGGTAAGGGCCTGGCACCGGCCCGCGCGTCATTTAGCGCTTGTGCGTTTCAGCATTTTCCAAAGCATGGAATCTGTCATTTCTTCTGGCCTTGGGGCCACACCCAGTGATGCTCAGAAGTTACTCTTGGTAACCAAAAGGGTTTGGGACCAAAAGGGTTTTGTTTGTTTGTTTGTTTAATTTTAATTTCAAAAGAAAAATGGCTTTTTGTGTATGGGTCACATCTGGTAATGCTCAGATCAGGGGTTACTCCTGATTTCACACTCAAGAATTACTCCTCGCAGTGCTTGGGCACCATATGGGATGCCGGGGATCGAACCTGGGGCTGCCGAGTGCAGGGCAAACATCCAGCCTCTGTACGATCGCTCCTGTCCTGTAAAATGACTTAATATTTCCGTAGAGGTTAAAAAACAAACACCGGGAGCTGGAGCAATAGCACAGCAGGGAGGGCATTTGCCTGGCACGCGGCCGACCCAGCTTTGATCCCCGGCATCCCATAGGGTCCCCCGAGCACCGCCTGGAGTGATCGATTCCTGAGTGCAGAGCCAGGAGCAACCCCTGAGCATCGCGGGGTGGGACCCAAAAAGCAAAAAAAAAAAAAAACACTGGTGACCCATTCTCACTGGGGTTGCCCGCCCTTTGAGTAAGTTATGTGAACACGACTACACGACTGTGGGTCCCTTGTGCGGCCCCTCACGGCGGCGACTCTTCCCCTGCAGATTACAGTCCGTATGGAGCCCACGGAGGCTGGGGGCCGTCCCCATACTCCCCACACCCGAGCATGCCTTCTCAGGGACACTTCAGCGAGAGGTACGCACCCGGCTTCTCCCTCCGCACACCCTTGGCACTGCGGCACCGTCTGTCCTTCCTGGGTTTCTGGACTGTTCCATGCTTCTCTCCCCCCTCCCCGCACCACAGGGAGAGGATTTCCATGTCGGAAGTGGCCAGTCACGGGAAACCCCTCCCGTCTGCGGAGAGGGAACGACTTCGCCTGGAACTGCAGCAGCTCAACCACCAGATCAGCCAACAGACCCAACTCCGCGGATTGGAGGTAGTGCACAAGATTATGAACACACACACACACACACACACACACACACACACACACACACACACACCCGTCCCCAACCCTGCCACAGTTCCAGTCACTGGAGACTTCTCAGAACCAGTTTTAAAAGAAGACCCCTAGGGGCTGGAGTGATAGCACAACGGGTAGGGTGTTTGCCTTGCATGCGGCCGACCCGAGTTCGATTCCCAGCATCCCATATGGTCCCCAGAGCACCACCAGGAGTAATTCCTGAGCCCATGAGCCAGGAGTAACCCCTGGCCATCGCTGGGTGTGACCCAAAAAAGCAAAATAAATAATAAGTTGTTTAAAAAAATAATAAATTTTTTTAAAAAAATAAAGAAGACCCCTAGAAAGTTGTATTCTGGGGGCTGGAACAATAGCACAGTGGGGTGGGCGTCTGCCTTGCATGCAGCCGACCCAGGTTCGATCCCCGGCATCCCATAGAGTCCCTTGAGCACTGCCAGGAGTGATTCCTGAGTGCATGAGCCAGGAGGAACCCCTGAGCATCGCCGGGTGTGACCCAAAAAGCCAAAAAAAAGAGAAAGTTTTATTCCTTTTTCTTAGACATTAGTCTAAGGGACCATTTGTCTAGAATTTCATCACTTGGAGTTTATGGAACGCGAAGAGACTTTCTATTATCTGAGAGTTGAAAACAGGTTCTCCAGGGGTCCGAGCGATAGTACAGTGAATACGGCACTTGCCTCGCACACGGCTGACCTGACTCAAGCCCTAGTACTCTATGGTCCTCTGGCCCACCGGGAGTGACTTGTGAGCACAGAGCCAGGAGTAAGCCCTGAGCACCTCGGGCTGTGACCCAAAAAAGCCAGCAACAAACAAATCAGGTTATCAAAAATTTCCCAGCAGCTGGGGCTGGAGCGACAGCATAGCGGGAAGGGTGTTTGCCTCAGGTTTGATTCCTCCACTCCTCTCGGAGAGCCTGGCCAGCTACCGAGAGGATCCCACCCGCATAGCAAACCCTGGCAAGCTCCCCGGGGCGTATTCGAGGTGCCAAACACAGTCACAACAAGTCTCACCATGAAGACGTTACTAGTGCCCGCTGGAGCAAATCGATGAACAATGGGAGGACAGTGCTACAGGGCTAATTAACCTGACACTGAAACAAAGACCACCTCCGATGGCCACTTTGTGTCCGCCTCACTCCTGAGTGACGACACAGGCTGCCGTCTGGCCCCAGGTCCTTCTGCCGGCAGTGTGCGCCTGGCTGTGTACTAGGCCCTTGGTAACACGCTCCCGTTGCAGAGGGATGCGAGTGCCCTGGCCGGCCAGCCACCGCCCAAGTGGCCCGCGATGGTGTCCAGCGAGCAGCTGAGCCTGGAACTGCATCAGGTGGAGAGGGAGATCGGGAAGAGGACGCGGGAACTGAGCATGGTAAGCACTGCAGCGGGGAGGGAAGGAAAGGGGAGGGAAGGAGAGGGCAGAATGAAGGCTGCTTGGCTTCTTTTGATTTATTGGGGGTCTGGAGGGGCCACCCACACCCAGCAGTGCTCCAGAGCTAGTCCTTGCTTCATTGTCCACCTACAGGAGTGGACAGTGACCTTTCCTCTGGCTTCATTATCTGTGTAGATCTGTCTGTCGTCTGCCACTTGCACCAGCTGGTCTGATCCTTTGTCAAAATTCAGTATGGTTTTAGGGGCTGGAGTGATAGCACAGCGGGGAGGGCGTTTGCCTTGCACGTGGCCAACCCGGGTTTGATCCCCGGCATCCCATAGGGTCCCCCGAACACCACCAGGAGTAATTCCTGAGTGCAGAGCCAGGAGGAACCCCTGTGAATCGTCGGGTGTGACCCAAAAAGAAAAAAAAATTCATTTTTTTACATCTGGCATTGGAACCGTCTGCCCTTTATTTTCCTCTCATGATAACTGTTAATGAAAGATAATTGAGTTTATTTCCTTTCCTTTCAAAGGAGAACCAGTGTTCTCTAGACATGAAAAGCAAATTGAATACGAGTAAGCAAGCGGAAAACGGACAGCCAGAATCCCAAAACAAAGTGCCGGCTGAGGACCTGCCATTGACCTTCAGGTAAAGAGACATTTTCACAGTCTTGTTATCCATCATCACAGTAATAAATCATTTGATTTTTTTTAAAAAACAGTATACAGGGGCTGGAGCAATAGCGCAGCGGGTAGGGCATTTGTCTTGCATGCAGCCGACCCAGGTTCTATTCCCAGCATCCCAGAGGGTCCCCCGAGCACCACCAGGAGTTCCTGAGTGCAGAACCAGGAGTCACCCCTGTGCATCACCGGGTGTGACCCAAAAAGCAAAAAACAATAATAATAATAATATACATTAAGAGAATGTAAACAGGGCAGAGTCTGGCAAACTCCCCGTGGCGTCCCCAATATGCCAAATACCAGTAACAATGATGGGTCTCATTCTCCTAAAGAGCCTTGAATATAATCTCAGGGCTAGGATGAAGGAGACGTTACTGGGGCCTGCTCGAGGCAATCGACGAATAACAGGATGATGAAATGAAATGAAATGAAAATTAAGAGAATAATATTTTGATCAAAATTTAGGAGTTACAAAGTTATTAGAACAGAATCAAGGTTGAATGAACTGATCATACTTAACAAATGAAGCTCTTTATGATTCTTCCTTGTTCTTTGGGTGTTATTTATTTATTTATTTATTTATTTATTTATTTATTTTGGCCTCCACCTAATGGTGTTCAGGGGCTACTCCCTGCTCTGTGCTCTGGTCCTGGTCCTGGTCCTGGTGGTATTTGGGTGCCATGCCGTGCGGGGGATCAGACTCAGACCTCTCACATACCAGACATGCAAAGCTTTCTCTTCCTGGCTCTTCTTCCCTTCGTCTCTAGTGACTTTGGTCTAGGGGTGACGCCTGGCCGTGCGCAGGGGCCCTCTGCAGTTCAGGAGCTGAGTTGTGGTAGGTCACTTGCAAGGTGACCCCTCTCTACTCTCTGGGCCTCTTCCTGGATTTCTGGATGCGTTCTACTAAATAACCCTTTTTATACATTTATTTTGTAATCTCTCAATAATTCCAATTTGTAGGGCTGGAGCTATAGCACGGCAGGGAGGGCATTGGCCTTGCACGCGGCCAACCCGGGTTCGATTCCCAGCATCCCATAGAGTCCCCAAGCATCGCCAGGAGTGATTCCTGAGTGCAGAGCCAGTTGGAACCCCTGTGCTTCGCCAGGTAGGACCCAAAAGGCCAAAAAAAAAAAAACCAGAAAAGTCCAACTTGTGTTGTTTCTGCTGCTGACAGTGATGTGGCGAATGGATCAGCCTTGACACCGGAGAACGTCAGCCTCCTGGCGAGCAAGACCAGCTCTCTGGCCCTGACCGAGGACCCCGAGGGAGGCGGGGACAGCGGCGACGCCCAGAGACCGGGGGCCACGTCCAGTGCAGCTCCCTGAGGCTTAGGACGCCTGTCCCCGCGCGCTTCTCAGCGGTTTGTGAGCCCCAGGGGGGGGCCGAGAACAGGAAACTTTTCCACTTTTTCTCTGAGAGGCCGGAGAAATGCAGGAAAAGCCGCCACAGCGATGTGCACGGACGCCACGAGGAATCCAGAGCCTGCACATCCTTCACACTAATGCATTTTTTTAATTTAAAGAAAAAAAAGAAAATTAGCAGTATCTGCAAGCAATTCAGATTAAATTTGTTTTTGTTCTGTGAATGAACTTTATTTTAATAACTTTGGACGCCTTGGATCCAGGGCTTTAAAAAAAAAAGAAGAAGATATTATATATACACTCTGTTTGATTAATTGTATGATCTTAATGAAGTAGGTTCTTCCTGTATTTCGGTATTATTACATACCCAGTGTATATTTCCTCCCCCGAGTCCTGTCTGACTCTCAATCCTTTAGACAAAAACAGATGAAACAGCACTGGCTTTTCAGAGAATTCTTTGGTGCTTAAGGACCAAGGACAGTAACAGACCGACCTTTCAGATGTGCAGCAATCCCCTTATCGAGGTCACTAGCCTCATGAGATTGTCCTCATGTGACCCTAAAATGGAATATTTTCAACTTTTTGGAGAGACGATTACCAAGTGATTTGTGAACGCTCTCGTTTTCCCCAATGTGAATTCTTCTAGCCTCTTCCTGGAAGCAGAAAAGTTGGGCGGATACTGACAGATTGTTTTTAGGTAAATGGAGATTGATTTTGAAGGCGAAGTTGATTTGTTAGTGCTGAAAATACATGATTGGTGTATTACCCATCCTGCATCCTGATGGTTGGAAATTGGGAGCTCGGATTTTCCAAATGAAACTTTTGTAAAAATCACAGAGTGATCCAGACCCAGAGAAACCAACCGTTTCAAAACAGGAGACTTGGGCTGGAATTTAAAATGAACGAAGTCATGCGATCTCATTGATTATTTTCATTTTGCTCTCAAGGCCGAAAAGAAAATTTCTCTCTATTGGACCCGTTGGGCCAAAAAAAAAAACACCTAGTTTCTAAATTGATTGCTTGTTGCTGTTCCAAATCGTTAGTCCAGGTATATAAGTACCTAGGAATCAGTTTTCATCCGCCTGTTTTCACGCTGTTGAAAACTTGCTTCCAGCAGCATGTCGGAATCGGAGAATCACTTACATTTGGTTCTGCTGCACCGTATACTGAAGTCACATGTCTCTGCAGACGAGAAAAAAGATGTAGTGGGGGACTGTTGGATCATTCCCTTCTTCCCCGGCCTGTTTTTCTCTTCTGAATTCCCCCTTTCTGAATTCTACTACTAAAACAGAAAGCACTGGTTATGTAATAAGTTACTGCATTGCTTTTGGTTGGGTATAAAAGCAAAGAGTTTTGTGTTTTCTCGTTTCTGATTTTCTTGCCCCTTAACTCCTGCTGAGGTGGTAATCACCTCAGTCTCAGCGCTCTGTCCATCATACTGTTAACGGAAACAAATGGGGGTGGGGGGGTGGGGGTACAGTCCTGGCATTGCCTACCAGTAGGAGAGTCCAAACCGAACACTCTTTTGAGTAGCGATTATTTAATTTGCCCAGTCAAGGCTTCGTGTTTATATACTATTTCACATTGAATTTGATTATGCCCTACAGACCTGGCTGGTCAAGGATTTGATATACACATATTGGCTTGGGATTCGAGCTTTCTTTTTTATTTAAATAAAAATTTATATATATATTATATATATACAGATATACGTAGCTATATCTGTATATATATTAGTATGCTTTAAGGATTTTTTCGCATGAGCGCAGCTGTTGCGATAAAATGATTGATTGGGAGACAAAAGCACTGAATGGCAATGAGGCTTTATTTTTTTTTTTCAGTTGATACCCACATTTTTTTTTCCGTCCCACTTCACTTGCTTTTCTGCCTTTAATTTTATTTTTATTTATTTTTATTTATATATTTTTTTGGCTTGAGGACCCCCTTACGTTTATCCTTTAAGTGTTTATTTTGTTTCGGGAGAAGGAGAGAGACTTTCATATGTCTTACAGAGTTCCAATTTTTTATTTCTCTCTAGAACCGTGCAAGGCGATATTCTTCTGTAGGCAGATTTGGGCAGATCTTAGTTCTCCTTTGAAAACGTTAGATAATTCCTAAATTTGAGACACAGTTTGTTCCATTTCCACTTCAAAATTATTTGGGCATCGGGAGAGAGCTGATGAGTATTTTAAGTCCAAAATCAAAGTAGAATTCCATGTTGCAGATCTCTTGAAAGCCCTGATCACTCAAGTTGTTTTCCTCGTCTCCTCTAAATTTTCTAAATTTCTAAGTTTTCCTCTAAATTTCCTCGTTTCACTCTCTTTTGGCAGTGCCAGCCAGGCAGAAACGGGGTTCCTTTTTGCGGTGCCCCATTGTTAGTTGAACTCAGAAACGCACTCTTTTGACTTAATAACTTTTTTTTCCCACTCTAAAAAAATCGCAGTTTCCATTTGTGGGGAGAACGCTTTAGCGTTTCTTCTAAAAATAACGCTTTTGCTTTACACTGAATTCAAAAGCAAGACTTAACCCATCTCAAATGAACATGAGCGATTTCAAGAGGATGAAGGGTAGGGACCCTTAGTCCTATCTTCACTCTGGCTTGAATCAGCAAACGAGGGTTTTATTCTGGCTCGGTGAGGGTCTCATGGAGAATAAGACGTCGGGATACTGAGATTCGACGTTCTGGCTTCTGAGGTGTTTTGCCTTACTAGCTAGAGATGGCCGCAAAGCAAGCAGAGTGAATCCTCTGTTGTTTGGTTTTTTTTTTTAAATAGTATTTTTATTTTTGGGGGGCTGGAGAGATAACACAGCGGGTAGGGTGTTTGCCTTGCCTGCGGCTGACCCGGTTCGATTCCCAGCATCCCATAGGGTCCCCCGAGCCAGGAGGAACCCCTGTGCATCACCAGGTGTGACCCAAAAAACAAATAAATACATAAATAAATAGTATTTTTTTACTGAATCATCACATCTACAAGAGATATTTGAGGCCATTTACAGAGGCGAAGGGGAACCAAACGTCCATCCCCTGTGACTTGTCTAATGAATCCCAAAAATATTCAATACAGTGTAGGGTTCCAGTGCCATTATTCAAATGTGACACTGTCTCTAATACCGGCTACCGCGTTAGCTCGGATGATCCTTCCTTCTCCCATGTTACTTCCCTTGCCTGCTTGCTTTTCATGTATTTATTCTTTTGCCTTAAAGACATAAAAATGGCTGTGACTCTCATTTGCCATCTTAACGTGTGGAACTCCGTTCAACTTTCCCATAGGCCTTCAGAGGTAGAGCTCAAAAAAAACTTTTTTTTTTTAACCCCCTTCCTTTTCTGTCTTGCAAATTCCCCCCTAGACTTCACCCCACCCCCCTGCGACTCCCAATCTGCAACAGTGATTTTGCTGCCTCAAAACAGAGCATTCAAATGAATTCGCTTAGCCAATAACTTCTGTGAAGTTGCCTTAATGGTGTTATTACTCAGTGATGCACAAATGTGGTATTTGCCCTACTGGTAGGCAAACGAAGGTCTGGTTCAAATTGGTAACCTGCTGTTTTCTTGGAAAAGAGCCAAAGACTTGCGCCTTTCTCTGTTCGATTTGGGGAGGGGAGGGGAGGGGAGGGGGTGGGGGAATCGGAGCCATTTTGATCGTTAAACCTTTTTTTCGTATTTGTGAGTTAATGTACTGTGTAGATAGGTTTATCCTCAAGTTAACTGTTCCAAGTTAGCTGGCCTTATAAAATGTAAAAGTAATGAAAATTCCTTATTTTTCTCTAAACTAGTGAATGTCATCCTTTACTGTATTCTGTATAAGTAGTCACTTGACCCTCCCCTTTGAGATGTATTGTGGGCTGGGGGGGGTTATTATTATTATTATTTGGTTGTCATTTTGTTTTATCTTGACCTAAAGGATAATCTGTTGTCACTCCTGTCAAATCTTGAGGCTGAGTAAAAGAATTCATGGGCAGGCGACTGGTGAGAAATAACTACTAGTCCTTATATTAGATTATATTCAGAACTGGAAAAATCCGATTTTTCTTTTTTCACTAAAAGAGTATTTAGATGCTATTCATATGCATGTGGTGATGGATGGAGGTCTTACCATCTTTTTTCACTTTTTTTTTTTGCTCACTTTAAAGGATTACATAAAAGTTTCCTATTAAAAAGTTTTCTATATTAAATATATTGAAAAGGTGCCACCTGATTTATAACTTCATTAAAAAGAAAGTTCCAGTTACTTTTGAGGAGAAATTCATAACCTACCTGGAAATTAACTGCAATGTTTATTTAGATTTGTGCCCTAAAAGAGTTTGACCATTTTGTTTGTGTGTGTTTAACTGTTTAACTTAGGTGATACATTGCTAAGAATCTCTTTCCTGAAAAGTGAGAAATTACTAATCTACCTGGAAATTAACTGCAATGTTTTGTACCCTAAAAGAGTTTGACCATTTTGGTGTGTGTGTGTGTGTGTGTGTGTGTGTGTGTGTGTGTGTGTGTGTAACTATTTAACTTAGGTGATACATTGCTAAGAATCTCTTTCCTGAAAAGTGCTTGTTCTTTGGAAGAAATACTAGGCAGAGTTACTAAAGTCAAGTCTCCTTTTCAACATCGGAGATTGAACCAGCAAATGGGCCTGTGTTGGCATTTGCCCCGAGGTCTTGTGATGGTCACATTTGTATTTCCAGTTTTGGTTTGAACAGCCAGGATTCCTATATCAGGTGATTTTCAGCTCAGCTTTTATGAACCTATCCTATTGACACAACTTACTGGGAGTTGTAGGTCAATTACAATCTTTTTTTTTTCTTTTTTTGACTTTCCTGAACCTCTTGGGGAAAAATTATTATTTTTTTTGGTAAAAGGTACTTTTGATTGTAGGAAGAAACAGCTTAAGATTTTGTTCAGGCTTGTTTTTCTTGACCAGTGAAGATATTTTCTCACATTATTGATTCACATTGCTCCATAATTGACTATG